TCACTCGATGGGCCATTGCATGCCCCATCAAAGACACATCAGCTGAGACTGTAGCATCCGTTTTTCTAGACCGATGGATATCGCACTACGGTGTACCGACAACCATCACAACTGATCGTGGTCCCCAGTTCCAGTCTATCCTGTTTCAGGAATTCACAAGACTTCTGGGCGTAAACCACATCAGAACCACAGCTTACCACCCAGCAGCAAACGGCATGGTTGAAGGATTTCACCGGCAATTAAAAAGCTCACTCATGGCTCAAACTGATTCAACAAAATGGAGTGATGCCTTGCCGCTTGTTCTCCTTGGGATTCGTGCCACGGTGAAGGAAGACATAGGATGTACACCCGCCGTGTTAGTCTATGGTACAACTCTAACGTTACCCGGCCAACTAGTCAACTATGAACCTACAACGCAAGAAGATGCTACTCATTTCGCAAGTTGCCTATTACAAATGATGCAGAACATTAGAGCAATACCACCTCGAGAATACAACAATCCAGTCCATCTCGATAAACATTTAGAAACGTACAAATTTGTTTTTGTTCGAGTAGACGCGGTGAAAAAGCCACTGACACCACCATAAGAAGGTCCGTATAAAGTAATAAAACGCACTTGCAAGTATTTCATTATCAACAAAAACGGGAATAATGAAACAATTTCCATAGACCGAATAAAACCAGCTCTCTACGAACCCACTCAAGCCACTGATGACAATACGGCGAACAAACAATCACTCCCATCAATTACTAAGAAACAAGAGGAAGAGGAAAAACTCAGCACTACACCCTCTTGTTTAACACGATCTGGGAGACTTATTAAAAAACCCAAACGTTATGTACATTTTATGGACTAACACAATCAATCAGTTGTATGCATTACTTTGTGAAGTTACGCAATCTTCTAATAAAAGATATTTATTTTCCCTACATGTACATTTGATAACTATATTTATTTGTTATCACTGGTTTTGCCAATTTTTTTTAATAAGAAAAATTGTCATAGTAATAAACGAGTGAATGCTAACTAACTATTTATTAAATTCATCCATTTTTTTTAATTTTATGACTCTATTAACAGTTTTCCACATTTTATTATTATTGTTAGCAAACCAAAGCTTTTTAATGCTCGTTTTTTTTCAGTTTCATTTTGCGTAGCATAGCCTATATTATTAACGTGCCATTTATTCTTATCTCCACCATTTTTTTTCCGTTATTATAGTAAATACTATTTTATGTACATTTGTATACAATATTTCTCAATTTTTGTTGTTCATATTGTAATCAGTGTTATCTCCGGACACTCTGGGGGGAGCTATGTGGAGATAGAACCTTAAAACCTATTTTGTAAATAATTTTTCATAGTTTTCGCATGTATTTTCATATTCTGTACATTGAGCATTAAACAATTGTACTTGTTGTTCAACTGTATTACTTTGAACGCTTGTAACTCGACTTCCTTCCGTTTTGAGTACAACATATCGTGACACTGTTACTGCTCCTCAACAAATACACTCTAATTCACATCTGCATCGTTCTGCCATGTCTGCTAATATGTTGAATGAAATATTAATTGCATACCATCTACGTTTATAGACAATTGCGACATTCTTATTGAATTCTACGCTTGGTAAACCTACTGGATCTATATCGTCCATATTGAGATTACTGATTTTTTTATAATTGTGGATTATTTGGACCAAACCCAGCCGAACACGCAATAGCCTGAAGACTAAAGTAACGTCCCTTATTTTTATCTATGTGTAATTAACTTATTAACTGTTAATTGTTACATAAACTATAGACATAATATTTTTGTTGCTAATTTTTGGTTATCATACATTTTGGTCCACCACAGATAGATAACGTCGGCAGAAATACCTACATCTCATTCTACAAAATTGCCTTCACTTCACGTTTGACGTAACTTCGTTGGTCTCTCACCGATAACCGGAAATATCAACTTTTTCACAATCATGCTGGAGTTTTTAAGTGCTTCCAGGTATCCTTTCTGCGTCTTCACCTTGCTGGCAGACAATCATAACGACAAATCAGACAACCATAATCATTACAAGGTTGAAGCATTGTGCAGTCGGTCTAGCTGTCTTGGCCAACGTCTCTCTTTGTAGTCGCTTGAACTGCAGCATACACATACCTAGTTTCTTGCAAACACAGAACCTGTGGACACGTTACCGAATCTACTTGAGGTTGCTTGTTAGGACGGCCGAAGGTAACGTTGCAGCTTTAATTATCTACTGTGTGACATACATTCACTTATCCCTATTATTCTTCTCGTCCAAAACTTTGATCTTGACTACTTTCTCCATAAATTAACTCAAATTTCACCCTTTAAACTACTGAATAGCATGTATAGTAATGGAACTTCCACCAGTGCTTACGCTACAACTACACGGACGAAAAGCAGAGGTAAAGAACTTTATCTAGAGGTTATTATTATTTTAAAAATCCTCGTTTCTAGCATAAGGAGTATAAAAAGGCTCAAGACGATATTGGAAAAATAACTTGGTAATGTGTACAACGCGGATCACGCAGCTCAAATACCAAAACAGTTTCTCACAGGGCAATCAGGATCACACTCCTGTTTAGGTCCGTACTACTGAAAAGACTAATGGAAAAAAGAAACAATGGAAAAGGGTACTCTAAACTGCCCATGTTGCCGACTATTACTGGGGAGAAACGGGGCATAAACAATAACCGCATCGCAAACTCGTCGCTCGTTACGATCAGTGACTTAGCAATTGAATAAAAATTCTGTAGTGGCTGGGTTCATTGTTGCTGTGATTCAGCAGTACTTAGGCAGTTATACGGGGTTATCTTGGGTCATTCCAGTCCGTAGTTCTGGTACGTTTGTCCACTGTGTAGAAAAAATGCACCAACAGAACTGACAAAAAGGGGTGTAAAATCCCATAGAAAACAACAGCAAGTATGCCGAACTCATCGAACATGAGCTTAGACAAGCATGTGACAATGAAACCACGACCCGAGCTTATACACCAATGAAATTACTGGTTGTTGCTAATACCTCAATATTTATCAACAGTAAGGACTAGTGGTTGAGGATTGGGAAGCTGATTGGTTAAATCGTATCTCCCAAAACGCTATATATGGGTGATGAAGATGTTAGACAAAAATCTCTGTTTTTGTTTGATATCTCAGTGCCGGATAGAGGCTTATTAGAAAGTATGGTAGCTTTTGGCTAAGGGCTGTGGGATAATACCGTACAATGTCAGTAAAAAGTATCCTTTCAGCCGAGCTATACCACCTGTTTGAGGGCAAAACGGTGGCGAAATTGAACATTCTCTGTAAGATCCGAACTAAGGTTTGGCTGAAGAATAACTGTCTGAGTAGCCTAGACACGCGCTACTGTCCAGTTGAAACCAAAACAAGAAGATTAGTAAAATAACGACTTTAAATTTGATTGTAAATATAAATGTACATTATTACCTAAACAAATATTACCGCTCAGTTATTCAACTAATATTTGATCCCTCAATAATCAATCTAAATTACAACAAATAGACAAATTGATAATGAATGTAAGAAAATTATCGAACGCACCAAAAATGAAGTGTTATTCTTTCCTTTCTGGATAGATCACGTAAAAATCCGTCCAAAAGATAATAGTTTGTTGCTCTATAACACAAAGTGTTTCCAATTCTGTGAAAGCGCTTCAATTCATAACCAAAATGCACAATCCCAGTCAGCTCAAGCAACGCAATCAAAGAGAGAACAATCAATATGACTGCAGCCAAGATTAAATATCAACTAAAACAACATATATACAGTTCAGGACGAAACATAGAGACTCATTGAAGGCGAAAAAAATGAGAAAACTGTATTATAATAAAATATTACCATCTCAAATTGCATCAAAAAGACTAACGAAATATACAACTAAAAAACCAATGAGAAAAAACTACAAATGTATACATGTAGGGATTTTCACACACAAAACCTTCGGACAGAAATCAAGGGTTCCAGCACTCAAACTCCATTGATAAGCATCATTATTAAACAATCAATAGGCTCAGATTGTTTGTGAGGCACATTACTCATGTCTCAATGCTCCTGGTAAAGTAATCCGTGCAAGAGTTTGCAAGGTCGATCAGATCAACGAAAACACTTATTTAACGTAACAAAAGCGGTATGAATGGAAAACACTTTGTTTTGGTTATAATCCTTCTTATGGATCTGATCCACCATGTCTTACTGATGACGTTTAAATTGGGTATATTTTCTGTCTGTTGATTAGTAGATCCAAATCGATAAACATTAGAAAACATGCCCTCACTCTCCTTAGATTGCCAGAATAATGACCTTATAAATCGAAGACCAGTGGTTCTTAAACACCCACCTAAATTATGATGGCTCACAAATTTATCATGTCAATAAACAGCTACGTACATCACTAGCTGCGTCATCGGTTTTTATCGGATTCTGCAACACCGGAATAATCTAGACATTGTAAATTCCAAAACTATGTAGTGATACCAAGTTATCTTCATATGAATTGTGCAATTAATATTCATAATTTATGATAACCACTCCACCTGCGAAATATTCAAGCATGAAAGCGCTTGGTTGTAATCGAATTTTCATGCGATAGACTAAGATTTAAAAATATGTCAGGAACTGAAATCTAATGAGCTGTAGTACATCTCAGTGAATGGTGTTGAGCTTTATTGAGCTGCCGTTTGATTCCAAAGTACTTAACATTAAGAGAAACTGCATTTTTTCACATGAGCCTGAGAATCAGTAATGCTGTCGTTTGAATCAACTGATTCTTCAAAACTAACACAATAATAAGTAATTCCTTAGAATATATAATTGTTTGAAAAATGTGATCAGATTCTCAAGCATATTTGGGTTGTTCGTAAATCAGCTTACAGCATATTCAGGTAGTCAGTGATATTCGTGTATCACCCGTTCTTTCAGTTAAAACTGGTCGCTCGGAAGGAGCTTCAAAAAGATTTTAGAAACAAAGATCCATTTGTGTATGTATGGAAGCTTCAATTTTGTTTACAATAATGTAATGTTGTAGTTGCCCAAAAACGCATAGTATTAGTAATCTTCATTCATAACTTTAGAGAAAATGCAGGTGTTGAATTATTTAAAATTTCAAATATTCAGATGTGTGGTTTCGCTTTCTTACTTTGAAACACTTGTTTTAGTTCGTCAGGGTCACATCGGACATTTTGATGGTTTTGCGTAGAAGAATGAGGATGGATAGTTCCCGTCGTGTCTATCGGAGTAATGTACGTAGAATACAGACTGGTCAATATCGCAATCCCCCGCCCCCAAATTATGCGTCAAAATATTGCGACTCAATAGTACACGCAGCACCTAAGCCTGAGAGCTTACCACTTCCTCCTGACGAATGGATGCCGTTCTGCGGTAGTTCAAGTGATTTAAGTGGAGTAACCCAGCACCTAAGACTGTTACTTAGAATACAAACTGCTTAGTTCATTTCCTTTGCATTTTTCTTTTCTCAATTCCACATGTAAATATTTTTTTATGTACATAGATATATATAATACCCGCCCTTTTAAGGGCACATAACTTCGCTTTTCTTATTGCTTAAATCAGTTTGTGAGCCGTTAATTGCCGCTCATTTCATATGAACATGAGTTCGAGCTTCTGTTCAGTAAGGAAATGAGTTGCCATTTTGCAGAAGAAGGATGGTAGTTCTGCTACATCACATCCCAGAAATGTATTTTTTTGTAGGTTATTCTGATTATGCCTAACGTCGCCCGATTAGTTTTGCTCTGCTACTTAGCTTTACTGTTGCATGTCTGTATTTCAGACAAAACACTATTCATAGGCTATGTACATGTACCGGTCTAGAGATTTCGTTTTCAGTAATACTTGTGCTACACATAACGAATACCTACCTGTTGTAAAATTCGATGCGGAATACGCTCTGTTAGCTACTGTTATGCTTGTCGTCGACTCCAGGTCTTGTATGTAGTTGATAGCCTTCGCTCACTAAGATTCCACGAAAGATCTTCGTAGTCCTTGAAGTGGCCTTACTGTGTAAGGTATGATTTGATGCACATGTATCTCTAAATTATAGGGGTTTTCTCTTTGCCATACAGTGAAAAAGGTCTTAAGATTCTGTAGCGTTACTATTTTAAGCCGATGACGAATTTTGGAAATATGTAAACGGATATTTGTACTATGTGTATTTGTATATTCAGCCTATGACATAAGTACGTTTACATCTTTAGCATCCTTAAATTTGTATTCAGCTCTGCAAATATATGGTACATATTTCTGATAAACTCGAACGGTCCCCACCTAATCATGTTTCGCAAAGTGACAGCCGTATCTCTAGGCCAAGTTCCTCATTACTTGATGTTTCAAAAGGGAGCCAGGTATTGTGAGCAGCTGACGCAAATGACAGCTAGAAAGACAGTCTATATTAATTTGCACCGGGCAGATGATTACTACTAAGTAACTAGTGATTTCACGAAAATAACCAGATTGCACTAGATATTAGGCTCTTCATTATTTGCAGACAGGGCAACGTTGTGTGTAAGAGCTCATCTTCACGAAGTCACTTATCCTACTGAATCATCAGAAAGTGGAAGTATTACTGTTTCGGAATAATATCTTCACTCGGTTATTGTGTTCATTTAATCCAGACCTAAAATGCCTGTCAATTGTCATAAGTGCCTTCGTCATTATTCAGTTGGTCTCTAGTAAGTTACCACTTATAACCTAAACAAAGTATACTTTTTGTCCATACTTGTGGTGAGTATAGTTTTATTTCGGCCACTTAAGCCCTTAGCCGCAGTCCATTCACATACTGGTTGTAGTTTCAGGTGAACAACTCTCCCATTGTGGTCGAACGTAACTCATTAAATATACTATCGAGCTTGGATAGTGCAATAGGAAATTGTACCCCAAGGATGGCTGCATTTGGAGTGTAATTTCGGAGCAAATGGTTGACTGCTACCAAAAAACCGTAACTGTTACGAGTTTGTGGGTTTATCTGCTAAACAGAACTTTATGGAAGAGGCACCGGTTTTTTTACTACAAAAGCATTTTCACTATTCCCTATAGATTTACTTGAATTTTGAGGTGTGGGGGCGTTGTAATACTCACCTCATACAATGTTTCGTAATTGGGTCATTATCTAGTAGCTCAAGAGACTGTATGATTCCTGTCTCCAGTTATGGGTAGCTGCTTTAATGAATATTTAACTGTTCATGCTAATTATATTATTATAGGGTCACCCTTAAGAACGAGAAGGTTGTTTGGTTGGTGGAGTTGTGCATTACACCTTATACCGAAATTAAAAGTTGGCAAGGGTTTTTTAGTTTGAGCTTCATGCCCAATTTTCTAAATTTATAATACATTTGATTTGTCTCGATTGTAAGTCACTCTTGGGTACTTCTACTACAAATTTATTCATGATTACATTAGATTCTTGCGGGTTTAGGTTGTGTATCTTTCTATTTAATGTAGGATATAAGAAACAGTTTTGATCCCCGTGTGTGACTTCAGTTTGTTCGTGTATCCCATATTTTATGTCTCGCATTAATTCAGCGTTCATTCAAAAAGTCGGGATATGTGTATTGAGGATACTTTTACTTCATATCTTGTACAGAAAACTTGAAAAGGTTATAATAATTTCTGTCCAAGTCCTAGAGTAAGTCATATGGATCATATGCCGAAACTCCCATATATGATGTGTTCTGATGGATGGCCTTTATATATCTTAAAAGCAGATAAAACATCGAGTTCTACTTGAGTTATAAACCCCCATCATCTCAGTGATTAGTAGTCTTAACATCTCTGGTGTTCGGTAAATATCAGCGATATAATATGAACTCAGGGCAGTCGGGTTAACTGCTAGTTGATTAACCGTGGCACTGTCGAACTAAACACCTAATCTAGACTACGAGCAGACATTTGTTCGGTACTAGTGTGTATTAGACTATTGGCTTCCGTCATATAGTTTGATTAAATCCTGAGGAAAATTGACTCACGAGGTGCAGGCTGGTTTTCATTCTGGTCGAGGACTTATTGGTCACATCTTCACCTTCCGCTAAACGTTAAAACACCTTCATACTCATCACAGGTCAACAATCATAGTGCTTCTTGACATGATTGCTGCCTTCGATTTGTTGGACGGAACTGTTCTCTGGGATTGTCTATTGAAGAAGTGTGTGTCTAAGAAGTTTATTAACGTCTTAAAGGCCATCTATACAAACACCTCAGACATAATAAGGGCATACAACTACCTCTACCCATTGTTTCATTCAAGCAGTGGAGTTAGACAGGGTTGCCCAATCTCATCATTCCTCTTCAACTTTGCCATCGATGACATTCTGGAAACAACTGTGGGTCTGTTGCCTAGAGAAAGACTTCTCGACCTTGAGTATGATGATGATATTATCTTACTGTGCGATAATACCCGAGCCATGCAATCCGCACTTAATTAGTTGGCAATCAATGTCCGTAGGTACGGCATGTGCTTTTCACCTTCTAAGTGCAAAGTTCTTTTACAAGAGTGGCAGGGACTTGATCCTGCACACACCCTGGGTATTGAGCAGATAGAAGTAGTCGAGGAGTTCGTGTATCTAGGTAGCTGCTTAGGCGCTGGTGGTTGCGTGAGTGATGAGATCGATCCAGGGATAATGAAAGCCAGAGCGGCTTGCGTCCATCTGGGCCATCTTTGGCGCCTTCGTGATGTTAGTGTGGGTGGAAAAGGTCGGATCTAAAATGCGTCGGTGAGAGCAGTTTTCCTCTGTTTGTGAAACCGGGCTTCCGAGTTGAAGATGTTTGATAACTCTGTGTTCGATCATCGTTGTCTCCGAAGGATTGCTGACATCAGTGTCAACCCCGTGTTAGTAATGCAGAGGTTCGGCATTGTGTGTTTGGCAGAGTGACGATAATTCAGTTACTATCTTGAAACGTCGACTTCGGTGGCTTGGACATGTCCTACGAATGTCGTCCCAGAGAGTGCCACGTAGTGCATTATTTGCCGACCCTGGGACTGGTTGGAAAAAGCGGAGAGGTGGTCAGTGTATGACATGGTGTCGTGGCATGAAAGAAAACTACAGGACTGGCTTCTGTTAGGCCTTCACGATTCCCTGGTCGGGGTCCTGGAGACAGTGCAACACTGTGACTTGAGACGTTATCAGATATGGCTCAGAATTGAAACCAGTGGTGATCCTGCTGTAACTTTTTTACTTTCTTCATACGAAATGGACGTAACTTCTTTGACTGGAAGAATTCTTTCTTGTTGTACCTTTGCTAACTGGACTGCCTCTCCCATTATTACTATTATTTCACTCTCATACACTAATTTCTGTTCATCATTCTCCTCTTTCTTATGTACACTTTACATTCCCTATCTCCATTTTGTTATTGTTTGGCGCATATATATTTGGTGCTTTTTTGTATCAATATTTACGTGTTCAAATAAATAAATAATGTATTATGCAATCTAATTTCTGACTAAGTGTGAGTTCCACTTTAGTTCTTATGTACCGTACTTTCTGTGGAGTTGAAATATTAGTCAAGACTGAGTCGATAAATAACCAATCCGGATTTCGTACCGTGTTGTTGTCTTTGTGTATTATGCGGTTTCGGTATCTACATATACTCTGATAAGACTGGTTGATCTGGCTTTTCAAGCTGGGCAATAGCTGAAGTCATGTTCCAACTTCAACATAAAACTTATGAATAGTGGAAAAATTGACTTGGGGATATATTTCTCCCTCAGAAAACGAAACCTTGACAAATATACAGTTATGGAAACGCACTCAATAATTGGCCAGTTAAGTGGACAAAAAAACAATATAAGTCAGTTGTCATGTATTCCCAGTAAGTCTGGATTTTGTTAAACGTCAGTTATAATTCATCTCATGCTTGTTTAGCATACATATACTTGAGTTACTAACATGTGGTGCAAATAGTTCGGCTCGGTAAACCTAGTGTATCGGGTTTTGGTGGAAGTGATAACTTGACCACAGGAGTAATGATGATACAAAGTTTTAATGAGAGTTGAAATAAAAAATAGCATTATTTCTAAACTTAGTCAAGTAAAAATATAAACTATTCCGAATGTATACCTACGCCTTTTGTGCAGCTCATTTTAAGAATCATCTATGAGTCACCTTGCCCATGCTGAAAACCCTAAAAATGATGAGAGCCATCCAGTGTACTTAGATAGATTTTTGTGGTGTATGTATGAACTAACGATCCCTTTGTACTTGATGACTGCTCGATTTCTAATTCCAAATACAATACGTTCGTTCGTGCTCATCCAATAATTGTTAGTTAAATTGCGTTATTCCTGGTATTCGTAGTTTTTACTATAATTCAAATACTTCTGATTATCACAATTTTCCATCCAGAAATAAACTTAATTAAATGAGTTCCCAACCACAATTTGTGGAGTCCAATACTATGTTTCACCTAATTTTCATTGACATATAATTCCTATTTCAATATTAGAAGTACGAAGTTCAGCGAAAGGATTTCTTTGCAACGAATTTATTATCAAGCTGTAACACCGTACATATATCTGATAATCTTCCAAATATTAGTTCTGTGAGGACATGTTGATAAGTCGTGCTAACTGAACTCTATACTGGGTTCCTAAGCTATTCTGGCTTCATCTCATGGATGGCAAAATCTTCTGCTGTTTTCAGGAGTTGAATACGAAAAAATCTGGGTACATCTGAACGAATCGTGTAAATAACCTTAACCTACGGATCAGTGGAGTGATTAAAGTCGATTAGATGTTCAAGAATGGAGCTTCTAACTGCCCTTCTCCCACCCTTATAGAACCACACTGAGACATGTTCTCGTATGTAGAAAGCAAGTGTTGGCTATGGCCTATGTGGATCCACAAGAGCAGGTGAACTGCTAGATGCACATGAAGGCGACCAGACTAGGGAGCTTATCCTTAACGGATACAAAAAACAGGTTCCTATGAGTAAAAGTTAGTAGCAGCTTCGTTGCACAGAATCTTTTTATCGCTTCCGTTTACTGATTTTCAATCACCTCAGAGTTTTGGTCCCTTTCAAATTCTTGATTAATGCAAATATATAGCTTCGAAACGGAATTACAAGATTTCTTGTCCCCACTTCATTTCATTTTCTTTTCCATAATGCGGCTTGGGTAGCCGTTTTCAGCCAAACTTTTTCTGAGGAATGCAAGTTCTTCGTCAATGAATTTGGTACCACATATCTTGTGTATTCGGTGACGAAAAGAGCGAATAAGATTACTCTTTCTGCTTGATGGAACCCAGCTATAGAAGTTGACTAGTCGGCCGTCCCATGTATGTTTTCTATAAATCAACCTTTTTATGGAGCCATCACTTCTCTCAGACGCACACTGAGAAAGGACACTGAATGATCTAGCTTATTTCCTAACGCAAAATCTATCGAAGGATGAAATATGCTGAAGGAATGTAAAATATTTACAAATTCAACATCCTCGTCAAAAATGACAAACGTGTCGTCCATATATCTTTTCTATAGATTAAATCAATTGGTGATCAAACTAAGTTGGTTGTTTTCCAGCTTAAACATGAAAGAGTCTGCTAAGATTGGGCCCAGTGGAGACCCCATTGAGAGATTCGATGGTAGAGTGAATTAAACATATTCAAATTAGGTTGTAACGGTAATTTAGGTTTTTTTTTTACTCACAATAGTCCATATGAGAACGGAATGATCGGAACAATTTGGCGTGATTGTATAAGTCTTGGGTTATTATGCCTTTGTTCTTCAGATTTTTAAAAACATTTATCTATTTTCCCATGTAAGATATTTTGTCTACTTCTTTAAGTTTGTAAAATTTAGTATCATCCTTTAGAATTAACAGCATTTTTTCCAAGTAGTATTGACGATCTAGGAGTACCACATTAGCTCCTTTGTCAGATTTCCTTCTTGGAGCATTAGCCAATCCATATGGTTGTCAGTTATTAAGTCATTATGACTAAATTATGCGTTAATGTGTCCGTGAATACAAATTAATTATTGTGGATTTGAGATACGAAACTTCTTGTAGAGATTATAAGTTTGATTTTCTAGATTTTCGAATTGTATTTGCGCATGAATTCTGTTAGTTTCGATGCTATTACAGATTTTGCGACGCAATAATAAGAGGTTCATCAATAGTAAATTCGAGGTGAATAAAATTTTGTTGTCTGTCAACTATGGTGTTGTTTTAAATATTTCGTTTTGAATATGTTGGCATTTATCAATCAACTTTTCTAGATATCTATTGCTGCTTTGACATAGCGGTGAGCATGTGGTGATGACCAAATTTTAAGTCTAATCGTTTAATTTATTAAATTAAACAACCTAAAGTACTTACTATTATTTCAGTAGGCTAAAAATTGTCAGCTATTTTCAGTAATCTGAAAAATTGTTTTAAACATTTCTGGGTTACATGTCTGCTTTGTCTTTCCTTTTGATTCATCATAAAATTAGTACTAACGTAATACGAGAAGTTTAATTTTTCAAGTATTTGTTAGACTAAGCAGTTAATGAACTGTCATTTTGCCCCCAAATGCCATGATACAACCGAGAGTGAGGATAGTCCGCTCTCCCTCTCCAAATGCTCTCACATGGCCACGCGTATATAGCCTCTGCCAGGGAAGTCCTACTCACTGCCTTCCCGTAACACGGGTGTTGTTTATAAAATTGAGAGAACGAAAAGCGGATGTTCGGCGCTTTAATCGGGTTGGTGGACACGGAAAGTCCACCTAGGGGAGTTAGAAAACCCTGATTCCAACCAATGATGCACATGGGCTCCAGTATCCTGATAGAACAAATGGTGTATGAATCAATCGTTGGTCACCGGCTACCATGAGATTGCATCTCTTCACGATGCTCTACTGCCTTGTTGATCAGATCTTTAGGTCAAAGGCTCCGGGTGTGGACCCCTAAACAGACCACCTGCTTCGGTCTGGGCATCCGGCTAATTTCACAGCCCTGACACAAATCAAATGATATTTGTGCAGCGCATATAGATTTGGTGCCCCTTTGTACCAATATTTATGTATTTAAATAAATAAAAATTTCCATACATTTAGAGTTTCTTCAGTTTCAATAATTTTTTTCAGGAGCTGTTGACAAAACAACGACTGTTCTTGTGCTCCGTATTTGATATAGAAAAAAACGATTAATAATAAAACACT